ATGTGTAGAAGTAAGCATTTGTGGGAAGACTGCAGGTCATGTGATGATAATATAATAATAACTTTAATAAAAACTCTAGGTAACTGGTTTTCCAGTCTATTGTTATTATATGTAAGTATATATAAAAACATTTAAGTTTAAGTTTCTTTTGTTCTTTTTTGATGTATCCATGGAAATGTCACCTTGGGATTATCTGTTACAGACAGAACATTAGTTCCCTGTGGGTTAGATCTTTTTACCTGTGTGTAGAAAACCTAGTGTAGCCACAGCTAATGGCAACTTACTTGTTAATCTGTAGTTATAATTTATTCCATTAAGATGTTTATCATTCTACATTCTAAAATAATTGGTATATAATGTGCTGTGATTGGTCGTAAAGTGTGTTTTGATGAGAGTATCAATCATGCTTGCGCCATTGTTGCTTTGTGGATTTTGTACCTTCGTTGTGAAAATTAAGTAAATGCAAAAATATACAAAATATTGATCTAAGTTTGAAATGAAATAAACACTCGGAGGCTCATGAATGCTACAGCGCTGTTCCAAGGGAGCACCCATCCTCATCGGGATACACCTGACATTGGGATACACCTGATGAGAGAGAGCGCTGATCACCAAGCACTCTATGATACACAAGATTCACAGTACATCTGTTAAGATACTGAACAATACAAATAAATATTTGCTATTTAATCGCCATGGCTGATTGATGGCTGATTTCATTTCACCTGAATGTGTTGATTTTGATGTACACTTTGATATTGTTAACAAATGTGTTTTGTTTTAGCTTCAGGGACAGGAAGGTGCCAATATTGCAAAGTGCTTCAAGTCAAAAGATTTTAGTGCTTTCATGGCTAGTGGGATTCGTGCAGAAGGAGAAAAATATCAGTTTTTAAGAGAGGAGGAAGGCAAATTAGTTCTTGGAAAAAAGAAGGATCAGGGGGCGATTACTTTACAAGCTAGCAAAACAGCAGTAGTCATTGGTCACACCGCAGAGGGTTGCCAACAAGGAAATACAAACAAAGGTGTAGCAGTCATAGCAGAATATTTGGAATCATTGGGCATGTAACACCAGCAACTTAGTCATGTTAATATTTTGTACCATTGTTGTTCTATGATCCTCCCTCCAACCTTGTAAAATTGAAGTCATAAGTTCCTTAATTTCACAAGTATGTCAGTCTGCATCAAATTGACATTTTAGCTAACAACATTTGTCTGGATTAACATGCAGTGAAGAATTGAAAACAAAATGCTTATTTTCTGATATCATTTTAGAATATAAAAATAATAGCAGTAGCTTGTGATCCTTTTTTGTCAGAGAAAATTAACTGTCACAATAAACTAATAATTGGGAAATTTGTCCCAAACCACGTTATTAATGTTGCTGTTTTATTATGGATCAAGTGTGCACAACCAAACATCAGATTAGAGTGAGCACACTTAATCCGTGCAACTGTACAAAATCTAAGTAGTATTAATTTATACTAAAAGTGGACCTGCAGCAAGATGGTATTGAATGCTTCATTTGTATCAATTTCATTTAATTTGTATACAGCCTGCTCGATTTACTAAATAGAACTATTTAGTTTGTCAAGTTGCACGGATTAAGTTCGATCACTCTACAGGGAAGAACTTGCCCTCATTAGCAAAACTTGATTGCTCACCACTCTATTTAGTCTCCTTCGAAGCCTCCCTTTTGCCGAGCAGTTGCCGGGCTTCTTCTTGAGGCAGGAAGCACGACAAAAGGGAGGCTGCGAAGGAGGCTGCACTTTCTGAACTATCGTCGATCGAAACAGACTGGCGGTTGAATAGAAGTAGTTTTAMATGGATATCGAAACAGAAATTTGGCGTAGGTACTTGAAAACTCCCCAACCCTAGCGCCGCTCCCATGAGTGCATGGGACCGCTAGGGAGCGCTAAGGTGAAGTGCATGTTGGTTGAGGAGTTTTCAAGTACCATAAGTGAAGTATCTACCAAATTTGGAAGCTTGAACAAAATGCGAAATTTGTTTAGCTCTTTTCGTCAAATGTTGTGTGAAATTGACTGTATCCCTTCGCATGGCAACATCTTGGCCTCCGTTAATTAGTGGGGGAGAGAATCGAACTGCTAAGAACGCCTGTTTACGGAGGAAAGCTACATCTAAGTTCAGTCACGGTTTAACCCCTCACACTCTGTATCACAATATATTTTGATTATAGAAAATTTGCAGTAGKTTCTAACTATTTTAAACAATGGCGCTTATGCCTGGCGTAGTGAAAACCAGCCTTCTTATTCCGCTGTGTCATTCGTTATACATCGTAACCAGGCAGTCCCAAATGATGTCTCGAAACTGTGGCAATTTTGTTGATCATCAGACTAGAAAACTCCTTATATTCTATATATACTGCTGTCTAACGGGAGGTTACAAAAAACCATCTGCACGAGCCTGCACCACTACCACACCGAAAGACCACACGTTATACTTYGTTATATTAATGAAAAAAACAAGTCCCCTTTTTTTCTAAATATGCTTAAAAATCGAGAGTTTTGCCATTCTGGAGACGAATGCCAACGTTGTGAGCAAACATTTTGTAGTTGTATATCACAGCATGGCGACTCTAAACAAGTAACCACAAAAAAATAAATAAAAAAACGGTTGTCTAATTCAATTTGAAATCTAAAAGTACCGATTTACTTATGCATTTGTTTGTTTGGTGTTTTCTTCTCTCCTTACTTCGAGTATTTTCCTCGTTGTACTCCGTTTTCATGTATATTTTCCTTTGAATTCTATGAGAGGAGGCAAACAAGTTTTGTCTGTGTGTTTGGTTTTTGAGGTATCATTAGTCGGGCTACCCGAAGGGGGCCCGACTTTAGTTTTACCTTTTTGTCTATGTGTGTGTC